CAGTTTGAAAAATTACATGACAATCAGCAACTGTTTAGATAATTGTTTTTTATTTGATAAGAATTTTGCATTTTATAGCATAAATAGCAGCAATTATAAATAAAATTTTGATGATGAGTTAATTAACTCTTTTTTCCAAAAAAAAAAAATTATTAAATCTTTTTTTAAGTGATTGCTTTTGTTTGCTATATCTTTCATGTTTGCTATATTTAGTCGTTAGTCCATCTTCAAACATCTTGTGACAAATCCTATTTTTTCTTCTTTGCTAACACAGAATGTTAGTTTTGATATATTCCCTTCCAGTTTCTCTGATGTTGCAACACTTACATATACTAATAATCGTCGTTAGAAAAACAGTCACCTTTATAGTAACTAATTAAAAAATAAAATTTACTTCTTACGAGAATCGCGATAGTTGATCTCAAAATTGCGTGAATATGAATAACAATTATGGATTTTGAAATCAAATGAATATGAAACTAGATATAGGATTTTGAAAATGAGGAAATACAAACTGGGATATATAATTTTTAAAACGCGTAAATACAAATCACGATTCATACTTTTTAGATCGCGTAAATGTGAATCATGATGCGTAATTTTTAGATTGCATAAATAAGAATTATGATGCATAATTTTTAGAATGCGAAACCCAATGCCTTATTTTAAAATCATGTATACATACGAAAATCAATGTTTGATAGTATAAACCGTATGAGCAAATCAAAACATTAATTTTAAACTTGCGTGAATACGAATCGCTACATAGGTTTTTAAAAAGGCATAAACACGAATCACAAAATCGGATTTTTAAATCTCGTAAATAAGAATCGCAACATACAATATTCAAGTCGCGTGAATAAGAATCGCAACACGCAAATATGAAAAGCTATGTTTGATATTATAATCGTGTGAATAAGAATCGAGATATTAGCAGATTCAGGCGTGGGACCTCTAAAAGGCAGGGCTAAAGTGAATAGAAGGGCTGGTTCACTCCTTTGAAGTAGCTCTCGCGGCACCAATCCTCCGATTTTCTCTAGTGACGTCACTTTGGCGCAAAGCTCGCGCTTTTACTTCAAGAGCGGAGCGTTCGGCCTTACTAGCTCTAACTAATATTGGAGCATTTCTTTTTGCGAGATATTCTAAGACATTTGTTATTTTCTATAATGACTTTCCTCAGTTTTTGCAGTGAATTTACAAGAATTTAAAACTATTATCGAAATGCCAGTTTGCGCGATTGCAACTTGCAAAAATTCTGATATAAAAACAAAAGGAAAAAGTATAATTTTTCGCGTGTTCCCTAAAGTAAATGAACAACTATGTAAAGAATGGATTCCGAAATGACACAGTTAATATAAAACAGCAATACGTTTATTCTGTCGTAAAGAACTTTTATAAAAATTCATTATCTAAATAGAAACCGCCTCGTTACTTCATAAAGAAAGGCAGGTGAAAAGAATTAAAAAATAGATAAAGTCAAAGAAAATTAAAATGTAAGTAAAAAGTATAAATAAAATATATAGTATATAGTTGAAATTCTCCTAATTTCATAACATATTTTTTAATGTAGTTATTCTAAATATTTATGATTTTTTTTAAAAATTATATTCTCTTCAATTTAAATATCTATAAATTATATCATCGTAAATTTAAATGTCTATAAACAATTGTAAAATTTCTAATGTCATTATGAACCTAAATTATTATTTTGTTTCAGTAATTAGCGTTTAAGGTTGATGTTTCCTAATGATTAAGTATGAACAAATTTCTATTAACGGCATATTTTAAAATCAAGGATTCTAAATTTAACAATACTTATTGTTATAAAGGAATAAGTAGATAAAAAAAGTGTCGATATATGCTTTCATTTTTCTTAATAATTAAAGTTAAAACTTAACTTTTTAAAATAAAGTATTTATAGTGTCATTTTCGCCAACTAGTAAAACATTTTTATAAGTTTAAAATGGTATTTTTTCTAATATAATGGCCAAGAGTGTTTTTTTGAACTATGTTTATAAACGGAAATAATGTGTTAATTACGTAAAGTTTGAAAGCTAATAACCAGAAAAAGTCTAACTTATTTTTACAAAGAGAAAGATGCAAAGTTATCATAATATCTTTGCTTGCGATCTCCGAGATCTGTGGACACAGTAACGTCATGAGGAGGGAAATCATAGCTTCAGCTCCAAGAGCGGAATGAACTAGCCCTTCTATTCTCTTTAGCCCTGTCTAAAAGGCTTGTCAGAAGCAGCCTCGTTTGAACTACAAAAATCGGATCTATTTGGAGGGCGGGTAAAAAATTCGGAAAATCTTATCTGCTGCGAGTAAAAGGGGAGAAATTAGCTATAATAAGTAAAAATGAGAAAGGATTGGTAGCTATGTAGTTTGAATTTTCTGTTTCTTTTTGAAAATCGGTGAATTTTCTGAAAAAGTGGAATACTTATAAAAAAAAAAGTTAAATTTTTAGAAAAATCTGAATTTTTGATAAAAAACTGAAATTCAAGAGATAGAAGTGAAAAAAGCGGAAATCAGCTAAAAAGAGGAAAAATCTCATCCCACATTGAAACCTCCATATATACCACCCATATGCTTTCAAAATTTATCTTGCAGTTTCTTTCCCACCACCAATTAAAACGTTAGTTTTTGGTCAAGGAATGTAAAGCTATAGCGATTACTATTACTCAGTTTCAGCAAAAACAGAGATATCAAAAAAACATTACTCGAAATCATTAAAAAAAATTAGAAGGTTTCGCTATTCACGACTATTTGTAGTTTTATTCAGCTATTGAAACTTTTCTATCTAGCTTTTCTTATTTGTATGAACTTACTGTTTTTAAAATCCTATGGACTTTTTCTCTTGGTCCCAAAGACTGGTGCATAAGTAAGAATTCACTGTACTTTATAAATGAATTCGCTTAATACATTAAAATGTCCCTATTCCTTCTTTAAAATCATAATTCAAATAATAATAATTAAAATATTACTTCTCAAAATAATATTAAATTATTTATGCACATCAAAGATTCTGCAGATGATAAAAAAAATAAGTTAATTGATAAATCATTTTAACTATTAATAAATTTAAAAATTTGTCTGTATCAGCGGAATTGGTTGGTAATAGTTGCTTTTCTCAATTTAATTTATTCAAAATGGAACAGTTTCACATAAAAGCTATTTTTGAAATTTAATTTATTTTGAAGAAAACTTTTCAAATTGATTATAATCAAATTTTTGTCGTTTCCATATGGTTCGCCCCCTAGTACAATAATTTAAAATATGTGCGTTTAAACCCTCACTTTGCCGTGGTCAGACTGACAGGCAAACAACAACTATTTTGCTAAAGCAAAACAGATTATGAAAACAAAATAAGAAAATTATCAATAAAAAAAATCGGCTAGATTTTTTCCTTAAGCTGTGTTTCAAAAACTACTCGTAAATTTACATTTAAATTAGTGTCTTGGTTCAAAAAAGTTCACGATTACTTTTTTAATCTTTGATGAGTCATGATAAATTGGCCAGTTGAAGAAATGATGTTAAAAGTTCAGGAAAATTAAATTGTTAAATAGAAATTTAATAAATTTACTTGTTGATATTTTTTTTGCGTTTTGTGTTTGAATTTAGTTATTAGTCATATGAGTTCGTTTACTTCGTAGAAGTTTCTGTTAGAAGTATTATTAGAATCACTAAAAAGAACAGGTTTTACACATTACTGCAGTCAAAATGAAAAAAAAACATTTCCTTACATTAAATAATGTGAAACTGGAAGTATTTTTTTTTCTGTAATACAATTTGTTGTTCATTCTAGTTTTTTAATCTAACAATATTTAGTACCTAATATAATTCATTTATATTTTATGCTTTTTTCATAGCTTTATATTTAATAGAATTTTCAAACATAGAGGCTAAAATTATATTAAAATCCTTAGCAAAATGTGAAATACTGTGCAATTGTTGTTACTTTTTGTGCCAATAATTTAGTTTAAAAATACAACTTAGCTAAAGTTGATTAATTTTTAAGTTTTTAATGGTAGTAGATAAATTCAAAACCAGAATCTATTCCAAAAATTATATATTGGTGACTTATTTCATGTTTCAACAAGGTCTATAAAGACCATCCTAGTATATTTGAATTCAAATAAATTTTTATTTCATTTATTTATTTTCTTACATGCTCGTTCTTTGTACGTAATTTAAAAGAAATGTGTAAACGATCTATGAATCGGTTGTAACAAACACTACGAAAATATGCTCAGATCTAATAGCCATTTTCTGACTCTATTCAAACATTTAAAATAATATCATATTTTATTATTTTTTCTTTCCTTAACCGATGACAGTATAGAGAGCAAAATTAAAAGCGGAGCAACCTAAATAACTTTTGAGTTGATAATTCAGTTAGAGTTGTATTATTAAGACTTGTATTGTAATTATTAGTCATTTTCTTTCCTTTCTCGTTGCTGTTAACTCTTCAACAGTTGGCTATAGCTATGACTGCAAATATGCAAGTTTTTATTAATCTTATTTGAATTAAAATGTAAGTTGAGGCATATTACAAAAAATACGTATAAATGTATTACACTAGCTATTCATGTATTAAATCTTGAAATAATATTTTTGAAATAAAAAGTGTTTTTATGATTAAGTGATGACAGGCCAATTAGACACATGTTTGCTTACACTAAATATAAATAAAAGACACTTTAATCTTGCCAAATATTATATTTTCTGCGATAGACAATTTACAGATATTACATAATCACAGCAATATAATTATTAGAATTTCAGTCTAAATACTCTAGAGATGTTCAAGACTCTTGGCAATATAATTATATAAATGTCAATTTCGGGATACATGCTTTCAAGTATCACAACAATATGATGTCAAATTTTGTCGGAAATAGCATGTTTTTTAAGATGGTAAATGATGGCACTTCAGATTGATCTTGTTTATTATTTTTTGAAAAATCTGTTGAAAATTCTTGAGAAAAAACTGAAGCAACCTTTTTTCTCGATTTTCTTTTCAACATGCTTGATGATGTTAAGATCAATATCACTCACATCATAATAATATTTTTTCTCTCTTATGAAGAAACCATCATGTTTTTCCAATCTGAAATTTTTAAAAAAAAAGATATTCACGTTATAAGGAATTTTTTGTCACATAAGTTTGCTGTTGAAATACAATTAATTTTAGGAATAAATTGTTATTTAATTCAGTTAAGTTTCTAAAAACACATATTTCTAAGCGTATACAAATGAAAATGTTAATTTCAACTACTAAAACTTAGATGTATTAGAAATTTATATTTTAAATTATGATTTCTTTTAGTAGTTTTTCTTAAATATCAAGTAATTGTTAAAAATTTTTAGCGTTTTTGAAATTTACTTATTGATTTTTATTTAATTTATGAGGTATTCAGATTTATCTAATAAGTGCTATTGTAGTTGGTTTGCGCAACAATACTTATAGACTGTATTTTAAAATGTTATTCCGTTAATTTCAAACTAATATTTATTTTTAATTTAAATTTACTTCATTTTTATTATTTGTTAGTCCTTTGAATTGCTACTAATCAGTCCGTTGAATGCAAATGATGATTATTTTTATATCCAGAACTTATTTAAAAGAAAGTTTTCATTAAGTATATCATTTAAAAAACATCGGATCAATTTTCAATGTTAAACTTAAGGAGGCAGCAATTAAATGTCGAATATCATATCTTTTACTGGGGAAATAGGAATAGGGAAATACAAGGGAGAATACTTCTTGTACTAGAGAAATAGGACTAAGGAAATACTAATACTAGGGAAAATTCTTCTTTTACCAGGGAAATAAGACTTGGGAAAATACTTCTTTTACAAGGGAGATAATTTTAATTCTGTGTCAAATTCACGTTACTATTTAAGAATGTCAAAAATTTCATTCAAATAGGTCCTAAGATAACTTTTCATCGCAATTTACTAATACCGAAACTAACAAGTTAAATTCACCAAATTTGTCGTCAAAACATTAGACTATTTTAGAATGTCGAAAATTGCATTCAAAAAGGTACCAAAATACCTTTTCATCGCAATTTAATAATACTGGGACTAACATGTTAAATTCACCAAATTTGTCGTCAAAATATTAGACTATTTTAGAATGTCGAAAATTGCATTCAAAAAGGTACCAAAATACCTTTTCATCGCAATTTAATAATACCGGGAATAATATGTTAAATTCACCAAATCTGTCGTCAAAACATTAGATTACGACAAAACACCTGTTTCTGGGCCTATTTGGTTTCAATTTTTAGCATAGTTACAAAAAAACATAAAATTAAGACTAAACTACCATTAACAACCCGTTCATAATAAAAAGGCCCCCTTTGGCCATGGGTTGCTAACTATACAATTCTCAATCTGTTCTGAATCACTCTATATAATCAAAATTTTTTAAAAAGAAAAAAATACCTATTGTCCGGAATACCATATGCAATCGAATCCTTTTCATGCACTGTATCCAACTTGTACAATTTCGCTATCTTTTCATCAGAAAATAAATAGTTTGGATAACCACGTGCATCACTAAGAAAAAAAAGAAGGAAAAACAAATTAGATTTACTAGTAAAATGAAATGTTTTTCTTAAATAAATTTGTAGCTTATGTGTGTGTCCCCACTAGAAAAAATCTAAAGATTCCCTAAAAAAGAAATTCTGGCGGAAATAGGAAGGTATTTGACCCATTCTCTAAGCCTGCTTTTTCCTTGTTTTCTACTGAAAATCTTTAAAATGAATTCTCTAAGCATTTGTCAATTTTTTTTTAACTGGCGTGTTTGTGATTCTTACAGCATTATCATTTTTAATTTCCTTATTAATCAAAGTATTGCTAGGCAACATCCTGTTAATAGTTTAATCATTTTTTTCTCCCAAAGTAGGAAATTCAATTTTTTAATATATTGCATGCATTTATTCTGTATTATGTCATAAGATCATGTTTAATAGTCTGTAAAACTGATTCAGGAATAGTAAAATGATAAGCTTCATTTTTTTTATAAAGCACAAGTGTATTCATTTAAATATTTATATTACACTTTAATTCTAAAGTAGCTATGAAAGTACTATTTGAGATACGTTGAAAAATAACTCAAACTTGAGCTCATTTTTTTTGAAATATTAAATTACCATAAGCAATTTATTAATTAATGTACCTTGTGAAGTCATCTTCAACTTTTCCATCCACTACTACTTCACCTACGACTTCACAATCAACTTCCTTCTCAACAACCACATCAAACTCATCATCGTTAAATCCACAATCATCAACTTCATTATCACTTTCATCTTCCTCATCAGACTGTGGCAATTCAGCCTTCAACTCCATCATACATTCTCCATCACTAAATTAAGAAAAGAAAAATATTCTCTTAAATCTAGGGTGGTCACACATGAAGTGACCAAATTCAGAACCCTCTGGAACTCGTTACACTAATTAAATTTTGATGGAACTATGGTGTTTATGTACCATGGGGGAAATGATTTCTGCAACAAAAGAACAGCTCAAATTTTTACTACACTACAATTTTTACAACTTGTTGCGCCTCAGTGTTACGTGTTGAAAGTGAATTATAGCGTGTTCAGCGGTCATCCTCGAAGAAACTTTCGAAGGATTTGAGCAACATGGCATGTAATACAGGCTTTAAACTCATATAGAGTCCTACGTTTCTTCATCTTGAACGAACCTATCGAAGGAGCTCACCGTACCATGCACTTGCAAGAGCTCATGTTTTAGGATCTTGAGGAGAAAGTTTCAAAGATAAACGGTCCAAGTATAAGGAAGTCCACACAAATGCAGTAACGCAATCAGAATTCGGGAACTGAATAGGGTCTATTTAATTATACCCAACTTCGATATTAAAAGTATATTTTTTATTACAGAAGTTAGTTTTTGGAACTGATAATCAGAATTTCGTTCTGTTTCCAAGGATTAGTAAGCCCACGCAAATACAGTAACGCAATCAGAATTCGTGTTTCGAATGGGGTCAATTTAATTAAAAATCAACCTCTACATTAAAAGTATAATTTTTATTACAGAAGTTAGTTTTTGAATCAGATAATTAGAGTTACTTTCAGTTTACAGACAAAATTGAACTGAATATCTGAACAACGTTTGATTTTATGGCAGGATTTTCGCGTACCATACGCTGTCTTAAGAATTGTAGAGTTGGCATAAAATATGCTCAATAATTATTTTTGTAGACTATATTTTAAGGTATAAAATTAGACAAAAAACGTACATTCTCTAAAATAACATTTTTTTTTTCAAACCATGAGGTGAATAGCAAACTCAAAAATAGGGTCCCAATAATTTTTCAGAAGAGCAACTGAAACTTTGAATCACTTAATGTCAATTTTCTTTTTCTTTTGTATACTTGTCTGTCTTTCAAGATATTTACGCGAATCGAAAAGATGCATGCATTTGCAAAACTGATCTAATTAAAGATATTTTCTAATATTTTATTTTCTTAATTATTATTTTTTTAGTTCCATAATAGTCCAAAAAAATATCCAATTTCAAGATTCACTAGATAAAAGCCAAAAAACAAAACCCAAAATTGAAACAAAATTCGACAAATAATTTCTGAAAAAAAAGCTCAAAATAATGAACTTTTTAAAATTTCACAATTCAGTGGCATAGAAAACATTAATGTTTAATATAATGTTTAATAAAACAAAATTATATTAACCCCTTGACGATCGGTTAATTTTCAAGAAAACAGTCATAAAAGTGCCTATTTTTTTTACTTTCGTATTTGTATTACGTATTTGATTAATGCTGCAATTAGTTTAAAATTAACCATCTACAATTACCTTAAAAATATCCTGGTACTGCCATCTGGTGTGTAAAATGAGAAATAAAATGCTTTCCGGGTGAAAGAAATGAATTAGTTTTATTCTTATAGGCGCGTTACTACTGAACACTCCAACCCATCAATATCACGGGAGCGAGAAATTGAGGACAAAACCTCACCCAGTCATTTTCACGGGAGCGAGAAGGAAGGGGTTAAAAATTTAAAACAATTATAATATAAATATTTATATACAATTCGAATGATTATACCTTTCCGACACATAGTCATCATCATCATTAAAGAAATCATCAGCTGCTACTGCCAGCTTTTCTCCTTCATACTCAGTATCAAAGCTAAAGTTTAAAAAAAAAAAATTTTACTTATATCGATTTTTTTGAGATCAGTTATTCACTTTCTGCTTAATTTGATTTAAGATATATTTTCTTAGACAGGTACGAAATATTTACAGGTAGTACATCATTAAAAATAGTTAATCCAAAGATTTTCCACTCTTTTAAAAATAAATTTCNATATATATATATATATATATATAAGCACCTGATGGAGCTTATGCATACATTTCCCATGCTTCATATAACGTCCTAAATAATATAAGTGTTAAAAAATAAAATTTAGAAATAGTTAATCCAAAGATTTTCCACTCTATTAAAAATAAATTTCTGGGCTTCAACTAATCGCATTTAGAACAATGAGGATGGTTACTATAAAGAACTTATAAAAAGTAATGATATCTCAGGCAGTCGATAGTATGAAAAAATATACTCTTATTAAAATTCATAATTGTATAATTTTAAAATTAATACACTTTTATTATATTTAGAGAGAGTATAAGGTTGAATAGAAGGCAAATTTTACAGGACATGGATTTTCTGTATACTAGTTACACAAACATAAAGTTTGTCTTCGGTATGAACTCTCCTCTGCTGCTATGGAAACATGAATAGCGCATTTCAGGGAAGGTAGCCCCTCTTCACTCTGTGGCTCACATAATAGACCGAAGAAAAAAAATTCTTTTATGTCACCGATCCGAGTCAAAACTTTTCCTGAACAATAACCCCACACCCCTATTTGAAATGGTTATGCCTCATTACCATAGTCTCCGTCACGAGCCCAGTTAAATGGGAGTTTTTATTTTAGACAAACTATTCAAATCTCATTGTACGAGGGTCATCCGGAACAAGATTTCAAAAGTAATTACTTACACTTGGTCAATACCAGTCTCATTTAATTCCCATTCATCCTCATCGAATTCATCATCGAATTCGCTCCCATCCTCATAAGCTAAAATATTAATCGAAATAAAATGCGTATAAATATAGATTAAATTAATGATGTATCAATTGATTCATACGAGAAAATTTTACTATAATGTTACACTTAGTTGTTCATTTCTTCGGTACTTTTATTCAAAATGACTTAAAGTATAAGTTCTGCTTTTAAAAAAATTTTTAACAAAACAACGAATCCGTAATCATTGATTTCATTAAAAAATAGAAACGTAGTTTCCAAAAACAAATATGGTTATAAATATTTGTTTTTATTTCTGTTGTTTTCATAATATAGAATGTTTCATTTCTGTTTTAGAATCCTCTATTTTTATCTCCGAAAAGCATTGCACAACTCTCAAGAATGTTTGTTCAATGTAATCTTGGAAACACAGGTGATTGTCTCTTGGAAAACAACCTGATTATCATTTGACTATTATAAATTATGTATTTAGGCAAATGAATAGCAAGAATGAAATAAAGAATGCAATTCACCAGGAAAATAAAGGACGAAATATTCTGAACAAATATGGTAAATTGCTTAACTGTCATGCCATATTATTCATTTTGAATCCTACTTTTAAATGATATTTATCTGTTCCGATTTGCCATAAAAATCCTATTACCACAGTGAGCATTAGCACAGTGTTCCAATTTGCAATAAACATCCTATTACCACTAATATTACCATATTAGGTTTACCGTACTAGTATATTAAGAAACTAATGCACCAGTAACGCTTATAACTACAATTAATTAAGCCTCTTTTATGTCAATAACGGTTCGGCAATTTTTTGCGGCTCCTGAAATAGATATCCGTTTATTTTTTTGTAAAATTTTTGGAGATAAACTACGGTCTAGTTTTACTTATCAGTTTTTTTTCTGTAAGTTTTAATTTCCCGTTCATTCCGTATTAGTTATTTCATTCTGTGGTGTTTCATTTGCTGGTTATCCTGTGACTTACATTACTTCTAAGCCAAAAGAGTAATGCAACTGAAGTGCCAATGAAATCGCCAAAACAATTAGTTGTTTCATTTCCTGCTTATCATGTGACTTACATTACCTCTTAGCCGAAAGAGTAATGCAACTGAAGCGCCAATGAAATCGCCAAAACAATTAATTGTTTCATTTCCTGCTTATCATGCGACTTACATTACCTCTAAGCCAAAAGAGTAATGCAACTGAAGTGCCAATGAAATCGCCAAAACAATTAGTTGTTTCATTTCCTGCTTATCATGTGACTTGCATTACCCCTTAGTCGAAAGAGTAATAGAACTGACGTGCCAATGAAATCGCCAAAACAATTAGTTGTTTCATTTCCTGCTTGTCCTGCGACTTGCATTACCTCTTATCCGAAAAAGTAATCGAACTTAAGTGCCAATGAAATCGCCAAAAAAATTAGTTGTTTCATTCTGCGGTGTTTCATTTCCTGTTTATCTTGTGACTTACATTACCTCATAGCCAAAAGAGTAATACAACTGAAGTGCCAATGAAATGCCATTATTCCTCATCACTTATGAACTTACCCTTATAAAAAAATGTTTCGTAAGTATGATAAAATTCTGAAAAGCCTCAACATATTTCAAAGCTGTCTTATTTATTCAGAGCTGCGATGGCACTAGACTGTCAATGTGAAGGACTGGGGTTTGATCCCCAGTTAGTACTTTGTTTCGATTCTTTTTATTGCACTTTTTTATGACGTAATTTTACACTTGCATTTTTTTTGTTATTATTTTATTATTATTATTTGATAAATTTAATGAGTGTAGAATGCTTATGTTGGAAATTGTTCTTAATTATGATATCGCCAAAGGATTGGCGCATTTTTGGCGAGCGTTGACAGGTCGACGGAATCATCACAAAGTACCTTTTTTAATACTACCATATAAGAATGTTTTTTTATTAGAATTAAGTTCAAATGAATGAATGAATGGAAAAAGTGTGGGGTAAAATTTTGAAACAAAATATTTTTTTCATAATATAAAAAGAGTTTTTTAGTTTATGTTAACGATTTCCTTGTTTTTATCTGAATTTAAGCTTCCGAAAAATCTGCTAATTGCTGTACAGAGGTTTTAGATTGTTTTTAGCATATTGCATTTAGATATCTAATTACAGTTAAAATCACAAAAAGTACGTTTTTAATGCTTACGATTAGGTCTGGGATATTTTTCCCGTTCCTTCCGCCAGTTATTCAACACAGCAAAACGATATAAATCGCTTCTATTCATAATTATCTCTCAATAGGTTTTTTTTAATAGCAACACACAAACCGCATTTGAGAAAGCTCAAACAAGAATGATTTTTTAATGTATTTATTGCCATTGTTGTCAGATACTTTTATTTTCGCAACAAAGCATTGATTGTTGAAATAATGTCCAAGACATTTTTTTTAATATTTCTGTAATAGTTTACTATTGTTGCAAGCATTTCATGTGAAGCATTGTTGTAAATATTTAAAAGTTATAAATACTTAGAAATTAAAAGTATATAATTGTAAATAACAAATATAAAGTTTAAAGTATAAAATTTAAAAAAAATTTTAATTCTTCTCCAGAATTTTATTTTATTTAAGTTCACAATGCTCTGATAGAAAATCTTTTAATTTTGCTTTATGCAAAACATTTAAAAACTGGGCTAACGTTTGTTTTTTAAGAAAAAAATTTCTTTTAGTAAAAAATTGACTTTTTGATATTAAGTGTCCTCAGAGTTTATCTATTTTATTTTATAACCGTAGTTTAATTAGCCGACCTAACTCTGGGTTTACGACTACCAATGTTCAACTAAGTAGTCTTTTAATTTTGAACCCAATCCGGATAACAACGGAATTATTGAATTAAGTATTGGGAGAAATTTGCCTTCGTGGACGACTTTTTGAGGGAAATAAGCCGCATTTGCGTTACATGGAGAGAAAACCTCCCCACGGTTAGCTTGATGGCAAGGGGACTCTAAAGGGGATCCGTCTACAACTAAGGATATTTTTACATCAGCTTGGTTGGTGCGAGCCGGGTGTGGAATTCGAATCGACCAACCTTTGCTGGGATTTGAACTGGGTTCATCTCATCGGGAGATGAGCGCATTATCCTCTGAGCCACCACGGTTCAGGGTTTATCTTTTTTCTTTATTTTTTTATAACCGTCGTTGAGCAGCTGACCCAATTTGGGGGGGGGTTTACGACTACTAATGTTCAACTCAATAGCCTTGTAATTCTGAACCCGATCCAGGAGGCCAGGAAACTTCTGGATCAGTACCCCCAGAGGTATGATTTGTTGAGGGAACATGGACCCGATGGATTTAACTTGCATCAGTCAACATTTACTGCACAGGGATCGAGCTCACGACCTCTTGGACATGGGCCCAATGACCTACCAACCAGGCTAACCCGGCAAAGGGGTTTATCTATTAGGGTGTACATAAAAACATTCACCTATTATGCTTTTTTCCATATATACTATAAAAAAATTTAGTGTATCAAAAATGGTGGCACAACTAATTTGTTCTAAGACACCACAGATAAGTTTTGTTTCTTGCTATTTCCTGACTACAAGGGTCGGTAAATTTTTAGTTATCAACCTCCAAGATCCTATATTTCACTTATTTAACTCTCGATTAAGGAAATAACAAAAAAATTACGCATTTCTTAAACGTACCACATTCAATTTATTTCTTTGCTTTGTTAATATAAAGTAAACATGACTGAAGCCATATATGAGAAATGCGATTTTTTAATATTGAGCCCTACGACAAAATCTTAAATGTTTACATTTATTAAAAACTAATTAGTAAAAGGTCAAGTAATAATTCATCTTTTAATCAATGCAAAAATTTAAACAGAAAGTGGCCCGATAATTTATTCGGAGATCAATTCGGGAGGAAGATAATCAACATCTTCAAGGCATAATTTAAATTTAAATTCTTTGTGATTCATATTCATTCATTAATCCCCCTAGATCTGATCGATAGCTAAAAATACATATTCAAGGGTCGCCTAATACTTGGTGGCAAGGGTCGCCCTTTTATGGCGACCCTTGCACTCCAAGAACCAAAAATAACCTAAATGTAGTGAAATACCAAGAAATAGTTTTTGCACTACGTATCGAAGAGTAGGTAGCACCATTTTCAGTTTTCAGTAACACTAAAATTTATAATTTTATCAAGATATTATACCCAGAAGAGTCTATAAAGTTATTTTAGCGATATGATATGATATAAAAATCATTAATGTATACTGCATATTTGCACGAATTCCTAACTCATTAGTTTGTTAATCAAGAATGCACACAGCATAGAAAGAACATCAAGTTTTTCGTCATTGGCGTCACAGAACAGATACGAATAGAAATTAAATGTGATAAAATTATTTAATACAATTGACAGATACCTAAAAGTTCAACAGCTAAAAACAGAGTTTGAAACCGTGAACGTTTTTCTAATAACTGCGGTGTAATATCTATACGAATTCGGTGCTGCAAAACTCAAAAATTATGGTTTATTTAAAGATACTATCTAAACATCTAATCAAGCATTCCCACATACTTTTAAGAATGTAGTTAAATCTAAATTTCAAGAAATGACAAAGTTTTCAACACGTTCAGATGCAATTTATTTTTTTTCCTTCCGAAAACACCAATGCTAGCGCTTTTTAGATATCATCAATAGTTTGTTTACATCGAGTAAAAGTTGTATTACGTTTTCTGTTTTTCTCCACGCACTATCAATATCTGCTGAAACTAAAAGTGGTTCTCCCATAAAATACGTATGTATATACTAATAAGAATAATTTTATTTCAATTTTAAGGTAGTTTTAAAATATTTAATTTCTATCCGTTTCAGTTTTTTAAGACTAGTTCGAAGTCATACTATTATTCTTTTTGTGCATATGACTAACAGGGGCCGGTATAGCCTGGCTGGCAGTGCGCTGGACCCGCGTTTGTAAGAACGGGAGTTCGTATCCAGCTAGCCGAACACTTCCCGTGTAGTAAACGGTAAAATACGGTAGATTACGGTAAAATAATAGGCAGAAGTCTGTCCATCCAATTAAAAGTAAAACTTATTATACGTTTGTATTACGGTTTTATTAACCGTAATCTTTACGGTTTTGAAACCGTTTACAACTAACATGGTTAAAAAAAAAAAACATGAATTAAAAACTATACGAGTTTTCAACCATTAAAGATTAGCACTGCTTCGAAACTGTAAAGAAATAAATTTATTTGGGCATTGGTGAAAAGCTTTTTGCTAGGTAATGGGCATTGAAGTGTATCAAAAAAATCGTGGAATGTAATTAGTTTATTTGGTTCTTTCACTTATCGTAAAAGACAGGAAATTGTTAACAATTTTGTATTAAGTAGATTTATGGTGCTTCTATTTATGCGTGAATGAAAGTATCGCATTTTAATTGTCCAGGGTCACAAATTTGAATCACGGGCATCCAAAACTCATCACATGAAGGGAATGGATGAAATAATGTTAGGATCGAAACCCAGATGGTCATGAGATTACAGATTAGCTCTCTCGGCTGCATGTTCCAATCTGCAAGGAACTAATTGACCTCATTTGGTGACCCTATTTAGTACGATAAATTTCTGGCTGTTTTAACTGTATTAGGTGAAGGCAATTAATGTAGACTGTTTTATTTGAATATGGTAAAATAACAATTTGATTAATTGTAATTTAAACGTTTTTTGATTATGAGAAACTAATGTTATAATGAATAATATGATAATCTGCATCTAAAACATTTCTTTTCAAATAAAATCGTTAAACTGACAGCAAGAACATAAAAACAAATTTTCATTTAATATAATCTTAAAGTGGAAGATAAAATGATTAGAAGAAGAAAAATTTCTCGAACTCTCTGCCAATTACTACGAAAAAATATATCTTTCCGGTGACTATAATAAGTAGTAAACTAAAAACGTACAATAAAATATAGTAGTGTCACCTAGAAAAAAAAAGAATTCAATTAACATTCCACGTCTCCAATCACGAGACAATCACCATAAACGAGTACACTAGCCTGATAAAAGTTCTTATCTAACTAAATAACGGTCCGAAAGAATTTGTCCTCTTCACTTCATTTCTTCCATAAAAAAGGATTGTTTTTCTTGCAGGAAAGAACTTATTTTGCTAAATAGATAATTAAAGCTGATGTCTTTCCATGTTAAACTATCGACGAATCCTTTTTTTGTTTTCAATTTTAACTAAGAAATGTTTTAAATTTTACATTTAAAAAATATATAACATACTCGTATTGTTAACATTTTATAACCCAATAAATATTCCAATTCGTGTTTTGTGAACATAATATATAAATAAATAAAACATAAAATCTGTGTTTACCAT